CAACATAAAACAGGAATTTCACCAGATGTAATATACATAAATCAAAATGACTACATCTGTGGAAAGAGATTGTGGAAAAGTTCCATGTCATCAGTCAAAACAAGGCCAGGGACCAACTATGGAACAGACCATCAATTGTTCCTATGCAAGTTCAGGAGTGCTAGTGTGGTGATGTAGGATAATCGCTGGAATGAAAACCACAAGATCAGCAGTTCAAACCACCAGTCACTCTTCAGAACCCTATACAAGGTCTCTATGAGTTGGAACTGACTCAATGGCAATTAACAATAACCACAAGTTCAGGCTGAAGCTGAAAAAAAAATGAAAACAAGTCCACGAGAGCCAAAATATGACTTTGAACATATCCCACCTGAATTTACAGACCATCTCAAACACAGATTTGATGCATTAGACACTAATGATTGAAGACCTGAAGAGTTATGGGATGACATCAAAAACATCCTATAGGAAGAAAGTGAAAGGTCATTAAAAAGACAGGAAAGAAATGAAAGATCAAGATGGATGTCAGAAGGGCAGCTCAAGAAGATAAAGCCATGTATTACAATGAAATGGGCAAAGACCTGGAGTTAGGAAATTAAAAGGGAAGAAGTCTCAGCAATTATGAAACTTGAAAAAGTTGAAGAAAACATCCAAACTTCAACTTGAAATATTGAAGGATTCTATGAACAAAATAATGAATGATGTAGAAAGCGTCAAAAGGAAATGGAACGAACACACAGAGTAACTGTACCACAAAGAAATGGTCAATGTTCAACCATATCAAGAGGTAGTGTATCATCAAGAGCCAATGGTACTGAAGGAACAAGTCCAAGTTGCACTGAAGACACTTGTTAAAAACAAAGCTCCAAGAATTAATGGAATACGCATTACAATGTTTCAACAAATAGATGAAGCTTTGGAGGTGCTCACTCGTCTATGCCAAGAAATTGGAAGACAGTTACACAATCATATTTGTGCCTATTCGAAAGAGACGTTACCTAACGGAATGTGAAAATCATTGAAAAATATCATTAACATCTCATGCAAGATAATTCAAAAACAGCTGCAACAGTATGTCAACAGAGAACTGCCAGAAACTCTAGGCAGATTCAGAAGAGGAAAAGAAACTAGGGATATTTATTGCTGACATCAGATGGATCTTGGCTGAAAGCACAAGAACACCAGAAAGAGGTATACTTGTGCTTTATTGACTACACAAAGACTTTCAACTGTGTGGCTAATGACAAGCTATAAACAAATAACCTTTTGAAGATTGGGTATTCCAGAATACTTAATTATACTCACGATGAACCTGTACATGTATCAAGAAGCAGCCGTTCAAACAGAACAAAGGGAAACTGAATGGCTTAAAAATCAGGAAAGATGTTGTATCCTTTAACCATATTTATTCATGTCATCTCTATTCAATCTGTATGCTGAGCAAATAATTTGAGAAGCTGGATTACATGATATGAGGATTAGAGGAAGACTCATTAACAACTTGGGATATTCAGATGATACAACCTTACTTGCTGAAAGCAAAGATGACTTAAAATACTTAGAGATCAAAGACCACAGCCTTCAGTATGAGTTGCACCTCAGTGTAACAAAAATCCTCACAACTGGCCCAATAAATAACATCACGATAAAGTGAGGAAAGATTGAAGTTGTCAAAGACTTAATTTTGCTTGGATCCACCATCAATACTCATGGCAACAGCAGTCATGCATTACACTACACAATGCATTACACTACACAAATAGTGCACAAGAGGTCTGCTGCACAAGACCTCTTTAAAGTGTTCAAGAACAAAGATGTCAATTTGAGGACTAAGGTGTGCCTGACCCAAGCCATGGTATCTTCAATAGTCTCATATGCATGTTATAGCTGAATGATGAATAAGGAAGACTGTAGAAGAATTGATGCATTTGTGTTATGGTGTTGGAGAAGAATATTAAAAGTACCTTAGACTACCAGAAGAACAAATACATATGTGTTGGAAGAAATAGAGCCAGAATGTTCCTTAGAAGCTGGGATGGCAAGACAATATCTCTCATACTTTGGACACGTTATCAGGAGGGACCAGTCCCTTGACAAGGACATCATACTTGGTAGAGTGGAGGGTCAGTGAAAAAGAGCAAGACCCCCAGCAAGATGGATTGGCACAGTGGCAGCAGCAATGAACTCAAGAGTAACAACAATTGTGAAGCTGGTACAGGACCAGGCAATGTATTGTTCTGTTGTACACAGAGATGTTAGGAGTCAGAGCTAACTCAACTGCACTTAACAACACTTGCTGTTGTTGTTCTTTGCCATGGAAGTCAGTTCTGACTCATAGCCACCCCATACAGGGTTTCCGAGGCTTGAAATCTTTATGGGAGCCAAAAGCTTCATCTTCCTCCCACAGAAGAGCTGGTGGTTTTGAACTGCTGACCCTGAGGACAGTAGTCTGATTCATAAGCACTATGCTACCAGAGCTCCTTTAACAATACTACAACATGTAATAAAGGTTTCTATGATTTTATACCAATACTTTTTCACTTACTCTTGTATATATTCACATAGACACACACAAATACATACATAAACACAAATATGTATGTTTAAATCTACACACATACACATATAACAACATATATAGGCTGTTTTTAGCAATTAAAGAAAATTAAGGAAAATTCTCCAAAAAACATGCTTGGCTAATAGGAAATTTTATTGGGTGAACTTTTCAGACTTGCTTGACCCTTTTGAGACATTTATTGATATAATTGCCACAACAAGATGCCACGCGGTGGCTCCATACAATTAGCACTGACTGTGAACCACAAGGTCCGCGGTTCAAGGCCACGAGCTACTCTGTGGGAGAAAGATGATACTTTCTGCTTCCACAAAGATATATAGGCCCAGAAATCCTGCACTGGGTCACTGATTGGGAACTGACTCAATGACACTTAACGACAACAAGGTACCACCTTCACACCTGATATTAAATTATTAACGTTGAAATATCAATGTTGATAAGAGCATGAAAGAAGCAAATTAAGTTTTAAGTAACTGAACATTTTTAAAGATTTACCTAGAAATTTGTGAATATCCATCTAATGGTAAAACTTACACATCTCCTACTAGAATCCACATTCAAATCCTAACTGAAAAACTGTTCATGATGGACACAGATTTGTTTTCTAAGTAGGCTTGAGAGCTTTATTCCAACACAGTTTTAAAAAAAGACTAAAATTCCTGCAAAATTAATCAAGAACCTAGAAAATGAAATTAAAGTTAAAAAGTTATTTCCAATACAGAAATATAACTAAAACCCTGTTTTCTCAGCTATATGCCTATATGCACAAGCACCCATACATACGCACACACACATGGGGGGGCGGTGGCTACAAAAAGTTCATGGAAACGTTTCATTATATTTTAATTCCATTTTTCCATATGAAGCCTCTCATATCGTTTTTCTCAAACTATAAAACTCAAGTCTTCCTGGTGTGACAACCTGTATGTCTTATGGCTTTATACAAGATGAATGTCCCAACTACATTTCTTCATGGGTCATCATAGATTTTTGTGAGTCTCAGTACAACATATTTGTCTCAGGCCATTATTCTTCTTTTTCCTCTTAAACTTTCCAAACAGAATTTCTAGGGACCTACCTGTCTTGTATTTCTTTCCTTTTTCACCCCCTCCCTCCATCTCTCCCCTCCTCCCACTTTCCTGTATTGATTAGGGGAAAGAGTGTTCATAAGAGATTATATCTGCAAGAAAAATAAAGTAACACATGTGTAAAGATCATTACAACATTTTTAAAACAATAAAAAATGAAGAACACAGAATTTTAAATGAATGAGAAAACCAAAATGCATTCAGTAAGATGGGTTACATCTAGAGTTGTTGTTCAGCGCCATGGAGTCAGTTCCGACTCATAGTGAGTAGAGCTGGTTTGAACCAGTTCAAACTGAACTTACAGTCTATTGTTTATCCTACAGCACCACACCAACATTCAAGATCAAGAGGGCTCCCTAAAAATTGTGATTCTGTTCATCTTTGGAACATGTTATGCTAGTTTGGGTGAAAGTTGATAGAACAAATTCGTTTTCCATTCAACAATTTATACAGACTTTGTTTCATGACATCAGTTGCAATCCTCTCAGGACTTTAGCTGCTCTCTTCCCATTTCCTCCCTGGGTTCCCCAGTTTCCATCCAGTTCTCCTTCCTTCCTGCCCCTTCCTGCCTTCTGAAGCATGTGTAAGGGCAAATGTTACCCTTTTGGTCTCTTTTGGTTGATTATTCTAAGTGGTACATTCCTCATGGGTGTCATTACTCATTTGATAGGCCTGTTTGGATCAAGGATTTCAATCCAGATGGTTTGAGAGTACAAAGAAGGGGGAAATAGCATTACAACCTTTCTGATACATTCCTACTTAGATCCCATCAAAGCACATGCTTGACGTACACTGTGTAATAATTTTAAGTTAAGAAGGCCTTGTGGGACTTCCTAAACTTTGGTGGGTCATATTTTCGTGGCTCTAAGGCAGGCCACAGAAAGATCTTACAGCACAGAGCCACGGTCAGCAAATAACTGCCCGTAAGTCAAATCTGTCCTACTACCTACTTTTGTTAAACAAAGCATTACTGGAACACATGTCCGTTTATTTATGAATTGTTTATGGATCTCTCCACACTCCAACAGTAGAGTTGAGTAGAAACAATATGAACCACAAAGCCTAAAATATTTACTAGCTAGCCCTTTGGAAAAATACAGTTATCAACATCTAACTTTCACTACTCAACAGCTTTTTATCTTTCTTGGCTCCTATGGCCTCACCAAAGGAAGGCCATGGCTCTAGGTTACTGAGAGCTAAAGAGAGTTCATCACTGGCAAAGGAAGTCCAATGACATTTACCAAACATCTACTATATACCCCACAATAGGATAGCAGGCACCAAGAAGTAATTTTTTCCCTTATCCCATCATGCTCAAGCCCCTAGACACTAACCTGTATCTCTTGTAATCTTCTTCATCCTTCTCCAAGCTGACCAGCTCATTGGGGCATGCCACATTACCCAGCAGGCTGAGGTACTCCAGAGATGGTGTCACTTCTGCTAGGTGACTGAGCAGACTCTCCAAGTCAGTGATGTGACAAAGGTTAAGGATCTTGATCTTGGGGGACAAAAGGCTTAAGTGCAAAGCATAGACCATAAATGACAGGCACAGTCCAAGAGCTGACAAGTCCAGTCTGTTCTCCTAAGATGACATGAGGGAGGGCTTGACCATGCACGGATAGACGACTAACTGTTCACTCCCACAGATAGGAACATAGTCCAACTTTTCCGAGCACGTAGGGCTAATCCACATCATCTGAGGGGGAATGAATGAATGTAACAGTTCTATCTTTCTTGCTCTGTGTTTTGCTGTGTTGTGGATGCTGTTATTGCTACTAATGATAAAAGGATAGAGTCTACATAGTAAAATGTTTTGCAATATGCAAATCTATAAAACTTGACATTTTTCTAACAATTTAAAGCAAGGGATTATTCTTCAGGTCTTAGAGGGAATTTGGACAATAAAACATAAGGAAATGGCCTGGTTGCAAACAGGGATTGGCATCTTCCTCTGATCTATGAGACTGTGGTGGAGCTAAGCATTGCTCAATGATCAGAGTGGTGGCAATAAAACTTTGGGATGGGGAAAAGGAGAACAAAGAGGTAAACTAAGTTAGACTAGGTCGAGGCAAAGGCAAGTCAATATGCACTCCCTGAGACTCTGTTGTGAATATAAATTTCTATGAAGGTGAAAACCAAAAAGAGGGTGTGGGGTAGAAGATTATTCCACCAGCTATCTTCAGAAACCTACTGGCCAATCAAAGTCAAAACGGAAAGCCCCTCAAACCAATAAAGCAAGAGTCAAAGAAACTGGGAATCACAGGTACTGGGAAGGGCTGAATAATAGTCTAGTCTATGATCAACTCCTAGCATGATCCAGATACAGGGGAGATGAGCCCCAGACAAGGCTGATGATCCAGACGCCACGAATGGCACTGAGGACTACACGGCAGCAATGACTAGGAGTCTCTGTAGTTAGTCAGGATCAGTAGACAAAATGGGAAACTGGCAGAGAATGGCAGCAGAGCCAAGAACGTAGAGGCCACAAGGTGCACGCAGCGACAGTTAGTGTACAGTCTCCAGTACTGAAGTCCATCTGGACCTGGGAGAGGAAGACAAAATCGAACACAAAGGCTGTCTTTCCTCTGCCAGGATTTTACCTAGATTTTTTGCATACTTCATTTCAATGGATCGGAGGAGAATGCATTCCAAATCCAATCAGTTTTTTTTAAGCCTGTCCCTAACATATTTACCGGGGGTGTCACCAGAAGGCAGTATACTCCATCTCTGACAAACATAATAAAGAGTTTTCCTTCCTCTAACTTCAGCCCAGCCACCTAGTTGAGCCACAAGGGTGTTACAATTAATAAGGCATCTTTCCGTTGCACTAGGTGATCCTTTGGCATTAAAAGATTTTGTCTTCTTTAAACGTTATATTCTGAAGGCTAAATTCTTTCAAACATTTGTCATCAACATGCATGGTCTCCATTATATGTAACAGCAAATGTACTCTGGGAGGGAGTAGGAGAGAGACAATGAGAGGGAGAGCACAAGCAAGAGAAAACCCCAGTAAATGAGTGGTATGATCACAGTCACCCACTGTTTGCTCCAATTTGCCAACACCGTACCCATTTCCTAAACAGAGACAGGAAAATGGATATGGAAGTTATTTGTCTTGCAAACCTTTCATAATGGCATGCATGGATGATCACAAGAGACCACTGGAAGGAGGATGCTAGGAATGAAAGCACATCTGGAAGATTAAAGGAAAGCTCCCATCAATCAGGGAGGTAAGGTTAGAATACAGTGGCTAAATAACCAAGAGTCAAAATACTAATGCACCTCATCACTGAAGAGAAAATGCGACTACAAGGAAGCTCAATCATCACACTCTTCAAGAAAACCTTGTAAATATAGCCAATTAAAGTGACAGTGAACAATTTCAGAGAAAATCCTCGGTTTTTCCAGTAAGTTCGATCTTTGTGTGCTTCCCTTTCATTGTGAAGAGGAAGGAAAGAATGGAGGGAAGGAGAGAAACAGAGGAGAAACAGAATCCAATAAATATCTGTTGTCTAAAAGCACTGGCTTTAGGACAGAGACAGTGGTGCCTCAGAAAGTTCTGTGCTTGACTGTGCTTGCCTTGAAATGTCCTAAGCCCCTTCTAGAGCCCAGGAATGTACACGGCCAGCAGTGTCCTATAGGGGCAGTGCTCCACACATCTCCTGTTTGGGGTATGTTCCAAGTGTCTGCCCCACACCTGAGGTCCCTCCCATGCACGAAGAACCTCTAGGCCTCTTGTCTCTAAGGCTGTTCCAGTGGGCAGCGTGATGAGCTAATCACTCCTGCTGGACATGCAGTATTCCTTTTGTGGTATCTTAAGAGCACAAGCGGCCTGTTTTGTACTGTTATGCTAATTTTATCAACAAGGGTCCCAGATGCCCTAGGGAGAGTTCTGCTTTCTGCTCTGGATGAACAAGTTTGCTTGAACCAGCTTACTATCTATCTCTCAGGAGTACACTCCTTAAACTTGGGGTCCTTTTCCTATAACAGTCCCTGCATAGTGATTCAAATGACTAAGAACCGAGGTTAGATAGGATTACACCCAAACCCATATACGGAGTTGCAGAGGCTATTTCTACATAAGTATTTGTATGTGCTGTAAATATACCCACAAATATAGCAGGATACACAGAACACTTCTGAGCCATTACATAACATGTGGGAATGAGTCACTAAGGTCTTAGAACTTGTTGCGTAAGAATGTCATCAAGTCAGTTCCAACTCATAGTGACCCTGTATAGGGTTTCTGAGGAGCAGCTGGTGAGTTTGAACTGCTCACCTTGTGGTTCAAATGACCTTGCAGACCAGTGCTTATCCTACAGTGCTACACCACTGTTACTATAACAGAGCTCACAAAGACCTACTGTGTTGAATAGTGGCTGGGTCTTAAAGGTTAGCAAGTGGTCATCTAAGATGCAACTAGTGGTCTTTCTCTGCCTGGAGGATGGAAGAGTGGACAAAATCAAAGATTCAAGGGAACAATTAGTTTAAAGGACTAACGGACCAGATGAACCACAGCCTCTTCCATCCTGAGACCAGAATTAGATGGCACCTGGATACCTCTATCAGCTGCTCTGGTTAGGATCACTGAAGGTCCATGAAAGAAGGGGAGAAAATGCCAAATAAAATCCAAAAGAATAATAAAAATAAGGCCAGATTCATCAGTCTGACAGAGACTGGTGGGTCCCCTGACTCTGGCCCCTAGACATCCTTCAAACCTGAAAATGAACCTGTTTCTTCATTGTTGTTGTTGTTAGGTGCCATCGAGTAGGTACAGATTCATAGTTACCCAATACACAACAAAATGAAACCCTGCCTGGTCCCACGCCGACCTCACAACCATTGCTGCCACCATTGCACTAATCCATCTCATTGGGGGTGGGGGGGAAGTCTTCCTCTTTTTCTCCAACCCTCCACTTTGCCAAATATGATACCCTAGCTCCAGGGACAGGTCCCACCTGATAATAAGTCTGAAGTATGAAAGACAAAGTCTGGCCATCAAGGCTTCCAAGGAGCTTTCTGCCTGTACTTCTCCAATGCACATTGGTTAGTTCGTTTGGCAGTCCATGGCACTTTTAATATTCTCCTCCAACTCCATAACTCAAATGCATCAATTCTTCTACAGTCTTTCTTATTCACTGTCCAACTTTCACAAGAAAATTAAGTTATTGGAAAAAACATGGCTTGGGTCAGGCACACCTTAGTCTTCAAGCCAACATCTTTGCTCTTCAACATTTTAAAGAGGTCTTGCGCAGCAGATATAACCAATGGAATACGTCATTTGATTTCTTGACTGCAGCTTCCTTGAGAGATGAAGGTTGATCTGAACAAAATGAAACGTTTCTGAACTACAATCTTTTCTCCACTTATATGGATGTTGTTTATTGGTCCAGTGGTGAGGATTTTCGTTTCCTTTACATTGAAATGCAACCCATACCAAAGGCTATGGTCTCTGACCTCGTTGCTGTTGTTGTTAGGTGCCATTGCGTTTGTACCGACTCATAGTGACCCAATGCACAACAAAATGAAACACTGCACTGTCCTGGGCCAAGCTCACAATTGTTGTCATGTTTGAGCCCATTGATGCTGCCACTTTGCCAATCCATCTCCTAGGGGTCTTCCTCTTTTTCTCTGACCCTCCCTCCACCTTACCAAACATGATATCCTTATCCAGTTACTGGTCCCTCCTGACAATATGTCCAAAGGATGAGAGATGAAGTTTTGTATTCCTGGCCTCCAAGGAGCTCTCTGGCTGCACTTATTCTAACACAGATCTGTTGGTTCTTTTAGCAGCCCATGGTACTTTCAATATTCTCCTCCAACACCATAACTCGAATACATCAGTTCTTCAATGATCTTCCTTATTCACTGACCAACTTTCACATGCATATGAGGTCACTGAAAATACCATGGCTTGGGTCAGGTACATCTTAGTCCTCAAGCTGACATCTTTGCTCTTCAAGATTTTTAAAAGGTCTTGTGCAGCAGATTTGCCTAATGCAATATGTTTGATTTCTTGACTACTGCTTCCACGAGGGTTGATAGTTGATCCAAAAGAATGAAGTCCTTGACAACTTCTGTCTTTTCTCCATTGAT